TGGAGCTGTGTAAGGATATAACAGATCAAGACATATATTTACACATTAAAAAATGCTATTACAACAGGGACAGATCTATTAGCTACAGCAAAGCAGGACACAGTTTAACCATCTCAAAACAAAATCACTCTCTTTTGTCAACCTAGGATTTCCAGAGAGAAGCAGAAAACTGCATTTCAAGTCTGAGGTTTTGGATCAAGAAATTTGAACCTAGGCCTCCATACTTCCATCCCCTTCAAATAAATACCACTTTCATTTATGATGTTAAGCACAGAAAGTCCCATGTTTTGACCACTTCTTGCAGATGTGTCGAAATTATTTTGTGGGAAAACAGACCTGGTGAAAGAAAGCTTGTTTACAGAAGATCGCTGGACAACTGATCTCTTTTGAGAAGAAGCTTCCCTCAAAGTAGAACATAATACAGCCTTTCCTCAGCGACTCCCAAGAGTGGCCCATTGCTGCAGAGTGTATGCAAAGAATATTTATGCTGAGGCACCTCAGTACACACTAGAAGCTAGGCAAGGTACTCACTCCTTCAGCTGGTATGGTTCCAGACGTTCAAACCACGGCCAGATCATGTAGTCCAACATGGAGATTGAGTCCCCACCATAAAACACAGCATTGCGTTTGGACAGAATCTGTGACGGACGAGAGATGACAATTGCCCTCAGAAGGAAAATTACCACAACAGAACACTGCAGTAACAAAAAGCCCACTTCACAGTGGAATGCAGGCATACTGAAGGGATCTGACAGCAAATAATGGAGATACAGCACAGGAGAAACGTGCTGTATCTGGGGAGTCAGAGCTAGTCAGTAAAGCAGCTGTAGTATCAGGCTTAACTATTTCATACGCTGTCAGTCCAGCTCCTCTCCAGTGATTCAAAAACTGTCACAACATACTCATCACTAGCAACCTGCAGCTTGTGCACAAACAAAAAGGAATTTAGCTCTAAGAATCCATCAGTTTTTGATCTCCTACTTATCAAAAAGCATTAATGGCACAGACTAATCAAACATAACACCACCCGTGCATTTCTTGAGCAATGCTAAATTTAACACCCAGGTAAACTAGAACACCATCTTAGCAGAGACTCTTTTTCCCATGGCACTTGAGGCCAAGTGGTATCAGGAAAGCATTTCTAACAGCGTATCTATAACTGGATTTGATTCCAGGTGCATGGGAAACATGAAGCAAGTGTAACGTCCACAGAAACTAAAAAGAGATCTCCACAGCTCAGCACAGAAAGCAGAGCCACTACGCACGCAGCGAGTTCTCCCGATACATTTACGTTTCTGATATATTTCAAGTGCCACGGCCATTCAAGTTTTACAGGCTTTAAGGAACCTCCAGAGCTTGGTTTCTTCTTTTCTAAGACTAGTCCTTCTGTTTTCAAGCACTTTGGCACTTTAAAGGTGGAACTTGAAAGACCTTACAAATATTTGTCTTTTTGGACACACAACACTACACTTCTGTGGAATTTACTCCCTGTGCCTTAACCCCCCTGATCCAGGAGAAATTTTAAAGCAGTCTTTTAGGAAGCATCAAGCTGTTTGAATTACCAGGTGTCTGGCAGAACACAACTCAGCAGTTGCAGAGAAAGGAACACAGCTCCCTCTGCCGGGTAGCAGCAAACTACATACACGTGTTTCAAAACACTTCCCTTCCTGAGTATCTTTTGCAACAGGCTGAGTGAAGTTTGTATGGCTCCTGTTCCCTCCTCCCATCCTCAGCTGACCTTCAGCTGCTGCTGGAAAATCCTTCAGGGTACAGTAAAATAGAAACACTGAAGGAGCAGCAAGTATGTCACAGCATTAATAAAGCAGGAAGAAGGTTAATTCTTCCTCAATAAATCTGCATTTCAGGGAAGTGAAACACACGTGGCTTCCCCCAAGAATTCGTTTGTCATCTGCACTACTCCAGCATCAGCCTGATCAGACAGACAGAACTGCCCTGAAAACAGTTTTGCTTTGGCAGCTCAAAGGGGTGGGGAAACAGAATGCAAATGTTAGAATTCTCCTAACAGACTGTTAGGAGAATTAGGAAAGTACTAGAAAGCTATTGGTAGCTTTGCACCAGAAGAGGAACACTTTGAAGGAACACTTCTTGATTGAGAAGAAGAAGCAAGCACTAGTCATGGCTGCTAAAGATGAAGAAGGAATGGGTTTGTGATAAAGGCAAGTCTGACAGCTGTTCAGACTAGTCAAGAAGCACTACCAACACGGATTGTGAAGTTGCTAAAAACAGCATAAAGGCCACCTGACACTTCCTGGAGCACTGCTGAAGTTGCATTACACCACCAGTGGCAGAACATGGCCCAGGGCTCATCCAATGTGCCCTTGGGATGGAGGATCCAATCCTTCCAGGGATGGGGCATCCACAACT